TGCCTTGGTGACTCTCTGGAACAGGGAGATGTCCAGGGCAATAGACACGATCGCTCCGGAACGTCCCCTCTCAAGTAGCCGAGCTAAACCAGCTCCTTGGTTCACCGAGGAGCTGGCAGCAATGAAGCGAAAGAAGAGGAGACTAGAGCGTGTGTGGCGTTCGGACCCGAGCGAGTCAAACCGAGCACGGTTTGTTGCCCTATTAAGGGCATATGCCGTGGCAATAAAGGCAGCAAAGAAATCTTTCTTTGCGGCCAATATTGCGTCCGCAAAGAACCGTCCGGCGGAGCTGTTTCGAGTTGTCAGAGGTCTATTAAAACCCACCATCCCGGATGGGAGCCCTGACAACTCGACGGCCCGCTGTGAAGCATTTGCTCGGTTCTTTGCGGACAAAGTCGCTTTGATCCGTTCAGGACTGGACACCATGTTAACGGCGGTCTCTGAGGATGTGACGAGAACACCTGTCTGTCCGATTTTGATGGATTCGTTTCAATTTGTGAAACCTGAGGATGTGGACAAGGTGCTGGGAGGGATGAGGGCAACCACATGCATCCTAGACCCCTGCCCATCCTGGCTTCTAAAGGAGGCCAGAGGGGGATTGGCCGAGTGGGTAAAGGTGGTGGTTAATGCCTCCCTTCGGGAAGGCATAATTCCAGCCAGCTTAAAACAAGCTGTTATAAAACCGCTGTTGAAAAAACCATCACTGGACCCCACTCAATTTGTCAACTATCGGCCTGTTTCCAATCTCCCCTTTTTGGGCAAAGTCCTGGAACGTGTGGTGGCCTCACAACTCCAGCATTCTTGGTAGACACTGATTATCTGGATCCGGCACAGTCTGGCTTTAGGCCGGGGCATGGTACCGAGACAGCCTTGGTCGCCTTAGTCGATGATCCCGGCGTGAACTTGACAGGGGGAGTGTGTCTCTGTTGGTTCTGCTGGATCTCTCAGCGGCCTTCGATACCGTCGACCACGGTATCCTTCTGGGGCGCCTCGGGGGAATGGGCCTGGGGGGCGCTGTTCTACAGTGGCTCAGGTCCTTCCTAGAGGATCGTACCCAGAAGGTGTTACTGGGGGACAACTGCTCGTCCTCACAACCATTGACTTGTGGGGTCCCGCAGGGTTCTATACTGTCCCCCATGTTGTTTAACATCTACATGAAGCCGTTGGGAGAGATCATCCGGAGTTTCGGGGTGCGGTGTTATCTGTACGCAGATGATGTCCAACTCTGTCACTCCTTTCCACCTACTACTAAGGAGGCTGTCCAGGTCCTGAACCGGTGCTTGGCCGCTGTGTCGGACTGGATGAGAGTGAACAAATTGAAACTCAATCCAGACAAGACAGAGGTACTCCTGGTCAGTCGGAAGACCGAACAGGGTATAGGGTTACAGCCTGTGCTAGACGGGGTCGCACTCCCCCTGAAGGCACAGGTTCGCAGCTTGGGTGTGACTCTGGATTCTTCGCTAAGCTTGGAACCCCAAGTTTCAGCGGTGTCCAGAGGAGCATTTGCACAGCTTCGGCTTGTGCGCCAGCTGCGCCCGTATCTTGGGAAGTCGGACTTGGCCACGGTAGTCCACGCTCTTGTCACATCCCGCATAGATTACTGCAACGCGCTCTACGTGGGGTTGCCCTTGAAGACTGCCCGGAAGCTCCAGATGGTCCAGCGCTCGGCAGCCAGGTTGCTAACGGGAGCGGCACTCAGGGAGCACACCACTCCGCTGTTGAGCCAGCTCCACTGGCTGCCAATTTGCTACCGGGCACAATTCAAGGTGCTGGCTTTAGCCTATAAAGCCCTACACGGTTCCGGCCCCACTTACCTCTCCGAACGCATCTCCGCCTATGAACCGGCGAGGATGTTAAGATCGTCCGGGGAGGCCCTGCTCTCGGTCCCGCCAGCATCACAAGTGCGGCTGGCGGGGACGAGAGACAGGGCCTTCTCGGTGGGGGCCCCTCGGCTATGGAATGCCCTACCAGTGGACATCAGGCAGGCTCCTTCGTTACTGGCATTTCGGAGGAGGGTTAAGACGTGGCTCTATGAACAGGCGTTCGGGTAATCATGTAATAACATCTGGCTTAGGAAAACGGCATATTGAACAAGGAATGGTAAAACGACTGTGAGAACGGGATCTGATTCTATTGAGGCGTTGATGATTATATGTGTGTCGTTTGTGTATGTCAGTTATATTTATTGTCTGTGTTGCACATTTTACTGTAAACCGCATTGAGTCGCCTTGTTAGGCTGATATATGCGGTATACAAAAGGAGTAAATAAATAAATAAATAAATATATAAATAAAAATGTCATGTTTGTTTGTGGGATTAGCATAACTCAAAAACCACTGGACGAATTGACACGAAATTTGGACACAAGACACCTCTCAGGCCAACAAGTGACCATCACTCACAAAAACACTGAAAAACACAACAGAAAAGGACTTAAAAGGCCAAAACCCCCCAAATAGACACTACAGCACATGCGGAAAAACAACTCCCTGTGGCAAACAAAACATACAATAGCATATCCGAACTCTCTTCTGGATTACAGCTCCCAGCATCCCTTAAACCTGGCCCTTTAGGAGAGGAGGGGGATCCAAATGCACTACTTCCAACTTGCAAACTTTCTTCCACACTCTAGTTACATCCTGAATAGATTACTGCAACACACTCTACATGGGGCTGCCTTTGAAGACGGTTCGGAAACTTCAGCTAGTTCAACGGGCGGCAACCAGATTACTAACAGGGAGCGGCATACAGGGTGCATACCACCCCCCTGTTATGCCAGCTCCACTGGCTGCCGGTCCACTTCCGAGCCCAATTCAAAGTGCTGGTTTTGACCTATAAAGCTCTACATGGTTCTGGCCCAGCTCACTTGTCCGAACGCATCTGCCCCTACGCCCCACCTCACAATTTAAGATCATCCGGGGAGGCCCTGATCTCGCTCCCACCAACAGCGCAAATGCGGTTGGCGGGGACAAGGAGCAGGGCCTTCTCGGCTGTGGCCCCCCACCTATGGAACACACTCCCAAAGGAGGTAAGATCCCTGGCTCCTGACCTTTAGAAAAAAATTAAAATCATGGTGTGGGACCAGGCCTTCGGACAATAGATGTATGCAGCTTTTAGTGGGACAAGGACTGGAACGGTGACTCGACTGATGGGATTGTTTTATGGTTTTAATAACTGTTTTGATATTTGGTGATGTACTGTTTTTAATATGATTTATGTCTAATGTGTGGTTTTACTATTATAGTTGTAAGGCATTGAATTTTTTGCCATTATCTTTTTTTTTCATAATACTTTTTATTAAGGTTTTTGGTATCGGTACATCAATCAGATGTTGATCATTGACATATCGGTTATAACTTAAAATCTAGGGGAGGGAATATGGTGGGGGTAAGGAAGAGGGGGTACCTATCTACTAGGGAAGGGGTGGGGGTAGTAATGGAGCTTATTGAAACTATCTCTACTAGGAAGAATTGCGCTCATAAAAATGAATGTTTTACCTAAACTATTGTTTTTATTTCAAAATATACCCATAATCAAAAATCAAACAGAATTTATAAAATGGAAGAAAGAACTATTGAAATTTGTGTGGAATGGGAAAAGACCGAGAATTAAATATTTGAACTTAATTGATAAAAAAACACGAGGGGGACTGGGATTCCCAGATCTGAAAACATATCATGAGGCTAGTGCCCTTTTGTGGATAAGAGATTGGATGACATTAGAAAACGGAAAAGGCTTGAACTTAGAAGGACATGATCTACGTGTAGGCTGGCATGCCTACACGTGGTACGATCGAGAAAAAAAGGAAAAAAAATTTGGAAACCATTTTGTAAGAGCATCAT